GGGAACCAACGAGAGGGAAAAACATACTTGACCTCACCCTTACTAATCTGCCAACTGCAGATGCAACTGTCCAAGACAGTATCAGTCAGAACAATCACCGCACAGTCCTTGTGAAGAGGAAGTCCCAACTTCACATTGAGAAGAACTTCCATTGTGTTGTGTGGCACTATCACCAGGCTAAATGAGACAGACTTTGCACAGCTATAGCAACTCAAGACTGAGCATCCATGAGGCCCTGTGGGCCATCAACAGCAGCAGAATTGTACTCCAGCATAACCTGTAACATCATGGCCTGGCATATCCCCCGCTCATCATTTACCATCAAGCCAGGGGATCAACCCTGGTTCAATGGAGAGTGCAGGAGGGCATGCCAGGAGCAGCACTAAGCACACCTGAAGATGAGATGTCAACCTGGTGAAGCCAACAAACAGGACTACTTGCACACCAAACAGCGAAAGCAGCAAGTGATAGACAGAGCTAAGTGATCCCACAGCCAACAGATCAGATCTAAGCTCTGCAGTCCTGCCACAACATGTCGTGAATGGTGATGGATGATTTAACAACTCACTGGAGGAGGGGGCTCCAAAAATATCCCCATCTTCAATGCTGGAAGAGCCCACCAAATCAGTGTAAAAGATAGGATGGAAGCTTGAGCAGAATCTTCAACCAGAAATGCAGAGTGGATGATCCATCTCGCCTCGTCCTTTGTTACCCAACATTACAGATACCAGTCTTCAGTCAATTCGATTCATTCCACCATGATATCAGGAAATGGTTGGAGGCACTGAATACTGCAAAGGCTATGGGCCCTGTCAACATTCGGCAATAGTACTGAAGATCTGCACTCCAGAACTTGCCACTCCCCTAACCAAGCTGTTCCAGTACAGTTACAACACTGGTATCTACCTGACAATGTGGAAAATTGCCCAAGTATATCCTGCACATAACAGGCAGGACACAACCTAACCAATTACCACCCGAACAGTTCACTGTCAATCATGAGTAAAGTGATGGAAGGTGTCATCAACAGTGCTATCAAGCAGCACCTGCTCAGCAATAACCTGCTCAGTGATGCCCAGTTTGGATTCCACCAGGGCCACTCAGCTCCTGACCTCATTACAGCCTTGGTTCAAACATGGACAAAAGAGCTGAATTCCAGAGGTGAGGTGAGAGTGACAGCCCTTGACATCAAGGCTGCATTTGACCGAGTGTGGCATCACAAAGCCCTAGTAAAACTGGAATTAATGGGTATCAGAGGGAAACCTTTCCAGTGGTTAGAGTCATACTTGACACAAGGAAAATGGTTGCGGTTTTTGGAGGTCAGTCGTCTCAGCTCCAGTATATCTCCCCAACCATCTTCAACTGCTTCATCAATGATATTCCCTCCAACATGAGGTTAGAAGTGGGGATGTTCGCCAATGATTGCACAATGTTCAGCATTATTCATGACTCCTCAGACACTGAAGCAGCCTGGGTCCAAATGCAACAAGATGTGGACAATATCCAGGCTTGGGCTGACAACTGGCAAGTGACATTCATGCCACACAAATGCCAGACTATGACCATCACCAACAAGAGACAATCTAACCACCACACCTTGATATTCAATGGTGTTACCATCAGTGAATCCCCTACTATCAACATCCTGGGGGTTATCATTGATCAAAAACTCAACTGGACTCAACACATAAATGCAGTGACTACATATGCATGTCAGAGGCAAGGAATACTGCGGCAAATAACTCACCCCCTGACTCTCCAAAGCCTGTCCACCACCTGGAAGGCCCAAGTCAGGAGTGTGATGGAATACTCCCTACTTGTCTGGACGAATGCAGCCCCAATAATACTCAAGAATCTTGACACCATCCATGTCAAAACAACCTGCTTGATTGGCACTATATCCACAAGCATCCACTCCCTCTACCACTGATGCTCAGTAGCAGCAGTCTGTACTATCTACAAGATGCACTGCAGAAATTCACTAAAGATCCTCAGGCAGCACCTTCCAAACCCACGACCACTTCCATCTAGAAGGACAAGGGCAGCAGACTTATGGGAACACCACCAGCTGGAAGTTCCCTTCCAAGCTGCTCACCATCCTGATGTGGAAATATATCGCCATTCCTTCACTGTCGCTGGGTCAAAATCCTCGAATTCTCTCCCTAATGACATTGTGGGTCAACCCACAGCAGGTAGACTGCAGTGGTTCAAGAAGGCAACTCACCACCACCCTTTCAAGGGCAATGAGGGACAGGCAATAAATGCTGGCCATCCAGTGATGTTCACATCCCACAAAATGAATAAATAAAAATAAAGGCACACACTGCTACCTTACAATATAGCCCACTACATACAAAAGTTAGACAATCGCAATTTAAAGGCTGCAAGTCAGTGCTTTTAAAAATATATTGAGTTGTTTGGAAGGGGTTGTGTAACCTTATGATCTGGCTACATGTATAATTAACTAAATACTTGTTTTGAGAATTTACAACAAGTTTTTGTACATTTTTCTAATTTTGTCTTTCGAGAGTATAAAGTCATGTTCCTCATTTTATATTCAAGCCTTTCAGTCCTAAGTTAGGAGCATGACTAAATCAATTTTTGAATTTAAACTGTTTTTAGAAAATAAATGCAGTTCTCTCTCCTAATTGTCTGTAATTAAGTGAACATGTGTGGGAGTTGTTAGCGTTTCACTACAGGAACAGGATGGAAAAGTGGGCGAGAATGCAATCTTTTTATATTGTATAATCAAATGTCATAACTGAATACTTTTTTATCAATTAAAATTAATAAAAACTGCAACAAATTTAAAAACGTAAACTAACAAACCAAATTAACAGTTAAACCTGCAGGATTGGGAACAGGATTCTGTCTTAACAGCAACATTTGGACTGAAAGTAATTGCTAAAAGGTTTAAAGTTGATTGAGAAAGGATATAATTCCTTTTCTTTCTACAACTTGGCAACAATTTCATGTTGCACAGATCTTATAAAAACAGATTTTATAAAGTCAGACATATTCTGCTGCCTTTTCCAACAAACGGGTATCAAGCATTTGCCAATCAGAATAGCCTTCAAGTACACTCAGTATATAATCAATGGCAGGATTTGGTATTTAGACCAGACTAGGTTAACCACTAAATGACACCCATGCTCCAAACCATAGAATACCCATCTTCAGTGCCATCTGAGATCTGCTTTTCAAATAAAATTCAATGAATAAACTAAGTATTAAAGGAATTATGTCGTAAAAGGACTTTAAGTGAAATGCCCAATGGTGACAGAAAAGAATAAACGAAAGTAAAGAAACAAGTAAAATTCAATTTTCAGTGTTAGCCTCTGAAGGCAGGATGTAAACTTAATTTAGCATGACATGCATGCCATTGGCCAGGTAGTTGTTTCAGCAGCATAAATGGGAGTAGTGTTTTGACAGCCTTCAGAGTCCCAACTGCAGCAGACATCTGATACCCAACCCATCTGGCATCCTGCCAACCTACCCACTCGAGCATCCTTAACCCCACACTTACATACTTAGCCTTTAACGGGAGCCATGAGAGTCACTTTCTGTGCTGATGGATGTTTGAATCACAGAATATGCCAATTACAAATCATGATAGTGGGGATGTGATTTGACTGCCCTTGACTATCTTATACCGCATGTTAGATTACAGGTAGGCTCTGCATTTCTGAAGGAATCTCCTGCCAGAAATGCAAAGTTCTGTCTTCATGGAAAATTTAGTAATGCAGTGGCAGTCTGACTGTGATTGCCACTCCTTGGAAAATCCAACCCAGTGTTCTGAGCAATGTCAGTAGTTCCATCATAGTTCCAGGACAGGCTTAAGCCAGTTGCTGTTCCTTGGTCGGAGTTCACTGTCACGTAGTTTACAATAAACTCATTTTAGCAGACATCGCAGCAGGAGTCGTCCATTTGGCCCTTGGAGTCTGTTCCAGCATTCAGTAAGATCTGTTGGTGGTCTCAGGCTTACTTTCTTGCCTGCAACCCATAACCCTTGCCTATCAAAGATCCATATAACTCAGCCTTGAATAAATCTGCAGATGAGAATTCTACATTACAATGACACTGAGAGGAAAACATTATCCACAACTCTGTCTTAAAAGTGTGACCTCTTACTCTTAAGCTACGTTCCTTAGTTTTCTTTCGTGGTGTCCACTCTGTCCAAACCTCTCAAGTTCTTGTTTGCTTCAGTAAGATCATTTCTCATTCAAAACTCCAACAGCTGTGGAGCTAACCTGTTCTTCCTAACCTTTTCATACCAGGAATGAGTCAAGTAAACCTTGTCTGAACTGCTTCTAAAGCATTTTTTTTCTTTTGGATAAAATAACCAAAACTGTGTATTGTATCCTACATGTGCTCCCAACAATGATTTGTGCAGACTCAGTGATATGACCCTACTCTTATTTTTCATTTCTTTAAAACAAAAAACATTCCATTTGCCTTCTAAATCACTTACTGTATCTGCAAACTAACAATGTGATTTATGTCATTTCTTTGTTTTCCACTATCAGTTTCCCAAACTCATCCCTAGAGAATCAACACCAGCTTTAGTTACTCTTTCCCTATTCAAGTACTTGCAGAAGCTTTCACTGTCATAATTTTACTTGCAAGCTTTCTCACATTATTCACTTTCCACCTCTTTATCATCTTTTTAGTCATTCTTTGCTGGTCCTTGAAGACTGTCCAATCCTCTGACCATGCTACTTTGCAGATTTGTGCAGGGTTTCTTTCAATTTGATATTATCCTCAACTTCCTTGTTTAGCCATGGATAATGTATTCTTCTCAAAGGGCCTTTTGATCACATTTATTTTGTTATGTTTATTAACTTTATTATGCTAATAAACAGTAAATATCGTAGCTGATCTGTCAGCATAAGCAATTTTAAATATTTTCAGTTGTAGCAGTCAATCCTGCACTGAGAACAATCAATCTAAAAAAAAATTGTGCTTCTGTCCCATTATACCCTTTTATTTTTTCTAACAAGGCCATCGAGGATTTGTTCCTGGCGGAAAACTGAGTCCACTTCAGCCTGGAAAACATCTAAATAACTTTCCACTGTCACAGTGCTCTTCTGTTGGTCACATTGTGGATGGAGCGATGAGCAGAAGAAAATCTTCTCCTTCACCTGAAAGACCTCTTTGCCTACTTCCAGAACCAATGCAGTATGAAGTAAGGGCATTTCAATTAACACGTTCATAGTTTCTACATAATGGCATTACTCTAAGGTTCAACTGATTTTCTTCTCACTTAATATACCAAAATAGAACGAAAATTAGGACTTTTTATCTCGCTCGGCACAGTTGGCAGCATCCGCACTCTGAATCATAAGTTCCAAGTCCCACTGCATAACGTGAGCCCAAAAAATCAAGGTTGACACTCCAGTGCAGTAGCTGAGGAATGCTGAACTATCAGAGGTGCTGACTTTGAATGAGGCATTAAACTGAGGTCCCATCTGCTTCCTTGAGTAAAATTAAAATATCCCATGCACAGATTTGAACACATGCATATGTTTGTCCATGTGTATAAATTATTTTGAAGAAGAAAGGAGTTAATCCCCTGTATCTGGCCAATATTTATTTCTCAGTTCCATTACAAAAGCAGATTATCTGTTCAGCATCACATGGCTGTTTTGCACGTTTTCTGTACGTAACTTGGCTGCTGCTTTTCTTACATTACAACAGTGATACTTCTATAATACTTAATTTGCTGTGAAGCACTTTAAGGCATCCAGGGTTCATGAAATTTGCTATATAAATGCATGTCTTATTTTTCTGTTTTTTTCTTCAAGAATGCAATGCTAGATAATTTGGTCAAAAATGCTGTGTGACAATGAAACACACCAAAAAACATATACAAAAATGCAATATTTTAAAATCCAAAATATAACACATTCCTAAACAAGTCAACAACTTACAGTTATATGCAAATGTATTTTGAAATTGTCATATTTGATTTTAAATTTCTGCCCGTTTTACAATATTGATATGGAATTATTGAAATTATAATAAAGAAATTACAGTAATATGTTCAATAATTCAGGTGATTATTTTCTACTGTTTTCATCGCAAACTTGACTGACAGTTTATATTACAGTGAAGGTCCGTTGCAATATCTCAAATGCAGTTAGGGTCATGCAATAACTGCTGGCCTTATCACTCAAACTCACATCTCAGAAATAACTAAAAAGGAGAGTCATTGGGAAAAGTCACTGTTAGAATGTAGGAAATGTGGCAGCCATTTCAGTTTCATGGAGGAACTGGCAATATATTAATCTCACTCTAAAATAACTACTCTGTTTTATGCTATGGAACAACCATAGAAACTATACTAAAAAAAAAAGCCCACCCCCAGATGAAAGACAGGCCATCTGTGAAAGTGAAACAGAATAAAATGCGTGTTCTAAATAAAATACTATTGCTTCTCTGTGAAATATATAAAACTAATCTGCAATAGACTAATGCGCTGAGATAAGACCATCAATACTAAGGTTTTCTCACTGCATTCTTTAAATGTAGGCTTATAATTTTGTTCAGAGACATAATGGGGAAACTTCTCCAAAACGTAA